TGGAAAGTTTGGTTTGTTTTACTTACATCATCAGATCGCTCCTCAAAAGTGTTGAACAACTTTTTCTTCAAAAGTCGTTGCTAGAAAAGTTCATCAGACCACATGAGAACTACTAGTATCCACACGCTGGTGAGTGGAATGCATAAACTGTATGAATATTGGATTTAGGCTATAGTCACCGATTGGTGTCTGGAATTATATGAAACCTCAACTTCAGCAGTTGGCCGCCCCCATGTTGGTTTTCTGGAGCCAGAAGTGATTCTTTTTGGAAGAGAGGGTGGTACAGGAAAAAAGATAAAGGGCTGAAAAACACCAACTTAACAAAGCTAAACCACAGGTAGCTAATTCAGTAGCACTTAGTATTTATGTGGCTCACAATTTGGGCGCAGAGTCCAGAGAAGGTGGATTATGTTGCTTGATTATACATACTAGGTAGGATTTGGGTGTAACATGAATCGAACAAATCAAAATGTCCGATCCCGTTACCTTTAAGAGCCAGCTACGCCTGTAGAGTGTGTTGCTAGTAACCAGAAAGTAACTAATTTCAAATACTCAAATTACTTTAATGAAGTCGTTTTTTTCGGTATGGGTATATTTTCAAGTCTGTACTTTTGTACTTAAGTACTCATTACATGATGTCATCTGCTTTGTTACTTTTGATTAAAATTGAGTGCAGAGTCAAATTTGTATTGAAGGTGTGTACGATTTACAGGGATTTATTGGCAAAGATGGAATATAGTACTTTTGAGCATGTTTTTATTGAATTGAATTGAAAGATGCAGACACATGTTTGCAATCTTAAAGCTCACCGCTAGATGACACTAATTCCTACACACTGGTACTTAAATAATCAAACCATTCGTCTGCTTTTTTGTAGCTAATACGGCTATTTGATTGTAATTGGGCCAATGAACCACTTGGTTAGGTTTAGGATCAGACCACGTTTAGGGTGGCAATAACTTTGTTATGTAATGTACGTCATGTGATGTCACTGAAGCGACTCACAACATCGCATGTGTGTTACAACTGTGACTAACATTTTGGTTTCATTGTATGATGAAACCTCAGTCTTCTGGATTAAAGTCCATCCATCCACTTCCACTTCCACTTCCACTTCCTCCATCTGTGGACTTTCTCATTGTTTATACTACGTCAACAGCCTGGGGCATCTCATACCGCCACAATGACTTTACATTGAAGTCACTTGAAAAGGCCGGTGCGTCACTTTCAGACATGAGCGGGTAGCGTCCGTATGAGTCGCAGAAGGTGATGACACATCGTTTCTATGTGATGAGAATGAGATGGGCTGTTTTTTTAGAGGTGACTGTGAACACTGAACATAAGAGTACAGGAGGTGGAAGAAATTTAGACGTGAATGTCTGCCATTTACACATGAAGGATTAACAGTTAAAAAGTGACTAACACTGAGAGGTTTTTGAGAGTTGGTACTTCTACTTAAATAGTTTGTTGTATCGGTACAGTGCTTGTACTTTAGTACAGACTTTCATCTCTGCTATTTACACAGTAGATTTCAGTTTTTATTCTGAGATAGACCGAACTACAGCTGGCTCATTTAATTTTATGTTTTCTATGTTTAGTCACATACAACTGGTTAATTATGTTGCCAGTCTGAGTGTTTTTTGAAAGGACCGTTCTTTGCCTCCTCCTGAAAAAATGAGTAATAGAGCCCCCGAAAGAGAGAGAGTACAAGTTAACGTCCTGTTTCACCAGTTTGGGTAAAAGCTCCCTCTGTCAAGATATTTAAAGAGAATCTACTCATGAATTTCCAGAGTGTGCAGTAGTTAAGAGATGTTTGATTTTTGAAGGAAATATCAGATACATCCACAACCTGTTTAATTTTGATGTTAACATGGCTTCTTTGTGCTAAAACAGCTTTTTCAGTGTTCCTCATGTTGTATCTTAGTCCCGTGAGTTTGGTTTTGCTTTGTTTGTCTCCTGCAGTCATTTATTCATGTATTTATTCATGTTACAAGCTGGAAAAAGGGGGAAAAAAGCTAGTTTGTCTGCTGTGGAAGTTTCCGTCCTGCTGAGTGCTCAGAATATAAAGTGCTTTAATCATATGCATCCCTGCTCACCACTTCAGTGTAAACACCTGCCTGCATTTGGACAGAGAGAAAGACACACACACAAACACACAACAAGAGATTTGTTCCTGTGTGTGTTTACTCACCGTTGCTGTCATCCCATCCAGATAATAAAATTAAAAAGAATTGATGTTATATAAAAAAAAAACTTTATTGCTAATAAAAACATGACCTGTGGTTGTTTTGATTTTTTGAGTAATTATTTGTTATTAACAATTCATTGTCATTATAATTACTATGGGTTATTGTCTTGGTCAGACCTGAGCAGCCTGTAAACACTTTGAACTGCTTCAGTTGGATTATTGTAACGGATGCCATCTATTTCTAATCAAGTTTCTAATCTCCCTTACTCTGAATGAGCTGAATAAGAGCAAAGCAGTGCTGGAGATAGGTGTAAATGTGTGTTCTACGCTTTTGTTTAAGCTTGTACATGTACAGTATATCAGTGCATGAGTGCTTTTAGAAGAATGTATGGCAATGATTGCAGGTCTCTTTAGCTCTGTAAGATAAGGCTAATATGCAATTACAGTTCATGCTAACATGGTAATTAAAGCAGGTATAATGTTCACTAATTCTCCATTTAGATTCAGCATGTATGAATGCTAAAATGTGCTTGTAAGTGCTGAGCACCAAGTACTGATGGGAATGCCATTTGTGTTTCAGGTATTTCAAAAAAGAAAATGTATCTGATGATGGTTACAATCTTTGCTGCAGCTGCTTTTACATGTCTGTAGGAAATCATGTGGCAATCAATTAAATCATTTTCAGAATTAGGACTGGGTATTGTCAAGAACCTCAAAATTCACTTTGACTTGATATTCTTTGGGTCACGATTAGATTCAATATAATTTAAATCAGATATTAATCAATATGCTTGGATATTGATTCAGTTATACAACGGAAATGACAGTATGGTGGAACTCACAGTGCCCCCACAGGAATTGAGCTTCATTACAATTTAAATAATTGATTTCAGGATTTTTTATATTTTAGACTATTTATTTCATTATTAACCTAAGTGGTCAATCAACCAATTGAGACACCAACAATGAAGCTGTAGAACCAAATGACTTACATGATTAAAAGGTGAAGAAATATGAAAATACAAGCTACAGGAAAGAGCAGAACATATAACCAAACATTTGTTGTTACAAAAAAAACAAGGGAGGTGACGAAAATGAGAAACATCTCCAAGCAAAAAAAAAAGTATCTGACAATGATAAAATCACCTTTGGACAAAACGTGATGGTATGATAGGTGGTGATGGCTTGTAAATGTTAGGATCTGCCTTTGGCTTTCATGTCCCAAAGTTCCTGAACCAAATACCCTTCATGTGAATTTACATTTCTCATTTTTACATCCCTTTCTCCCTCTATCTCCCCTTCTGTTTAAAGATGTTTATTTTGTTACAACCACAATAACTAAAAAATTGGGACGTTGTATAAAATGTAAATAAAACAATGTTATGATTTACAAAACATTGAAACCCCGTATTTAATAGCACAAAGGCAACATGTCAGTGTTGAAACTGAAAAATGTCATTGTTTTTTTTTTTTTTTTTTTTAAATTATAAGCCCATTATGAAACTGATGCCGTGAACACGTTTTAAAAAGAGGGAAAGACGGTGGCAACAAAGGCTGGAAAAGTTGTGAAATTATTTTTCAAAACCCAGAATTGGAACATCTCAGAAATGAGTATTGTTAATGTCAACCTGTTTCACCACTCTGTGAAAGACTATGCTGGCAAACAATGCAAAATGCAAGAGATAATGTATAGTTAGTGGGCATGGGAACCTTCCAAGGCAAGGAACATTTCTGAAGGTGGCAATAACCACCACATATACAGGTTTTGGAGCGACATATGCTTCCAAATGGACAACTTATTTTTCAGGAAGGGCTTTGTGTATTTCAGCAAGACGATGCCAAACCACATTCTGGTCGTATAACAACAGCATGGCTCCGTAGTAAAAGTGTCTGGGTGATAAACTGGCCTTCCCGGAGTCCAAACCTGTCACCCATTGAAACTGTTTGGAGCATTAAGAAGCCTAAATGAGACGTGGGAGACCTTGAACTGTTGAACAGCTCTAATCCTACATCAAGCAGGAATGGTAAAACATTCCATTTACAGAATTACAGAAACCGGTCTCCTCAGTTTCCAAAATACTTAGAAAGTGTTGTCAAAAGATAAAATGATGTAACAGAGAGGTAAACATGATTCTGTCACAGCCTTTGGGAAACTTGTTGCTGGAACGGGCATATCATTATCATTTTCATTTCTGGCAAAACATGTGCAGTCGGGTGTGGGCGAGAATGTGATTTGTCTTCTTGTTCCAGACTAATAGTCTACAGCCTAGATTCTAGTGGATCTCTGGGGCCGTGTTACCTAAATGTGAAAAGGCTCACAATAATGCTAACATGCTAATGTAAAACAAATAAACTTAACACCCAAAGCCCCAAAATATGGAAATGTATGGTTGTAAGGAAAATGCAGGGGATGACTTAAGTTATTAGAGAAGATTAGGTTCATTATCTTGGAGCCACAAAGGAGATATTGAGATTTTTCAGTGGATACGTAAAAAACTTTGATCTGCTGATGTTGCTAGAAATGGCAAGAAATAACCAAAGTCATTTGAGTTTATCTTTTGAGCACGATGAATTCTCGTGAAAAAAGTATTATATCAGTCCATCGGTAGTTTTTGAAGTATATCTGTCTAGAGAGACAGAAACACAGGACATTTTCCTCCCAGAGCCCATCTGCTTGCAACATTTAAAGCATCATTAGTAACATGGTTGAATAACGTCATGCACCACACAGTATACTCTAATTATGTATTGTATTAATGTATTGTTTGTGTGTATTCTCTAATGGAGCTTGTGTATTTGTTGTCTCTTACAGAATGCGGGAACGGGGTCCTTGCATTTGTGGAGTAGGCGTGTGGAGTCTACTGCTGTCTCTCTGCCTGGCCTCCCTCACACACGCACACAGGAGCCACACAGGTAAGAATATATGTGTCCCTTTCTGTCATTTTGTGTGTGAGTGCACAGTATATATTCCTGTCACTGGGTCAGTGTCTGTGTACAGCATTTATGGTATTCGATTTATTGTGGATTACCACTGCTGGCAGCCTTTGCAGCCAATTTCTTTCCACATGTTGTAAAGTTGCAGTGAATAGGCCGTGTGCCACCCGAGGGAATCTAGAGGTCGGATTCACTACGAAATACGAGGCCACAGAGACTGGATGCCAGGAAGAACAACCGAAAAAAGGTTCTTTAATAAAAGAAAGGGGAATAGGAGTAATCCAACAAGAAAGGTCTTCTCAGTTTAGGGGCTTTCATGTCTTTGCAGTTCTATCAGAGTGGGGCAAATCTCCAAAATGCCTGCAGGTTACAGCGTAGACAGAGCGAAGTGAGCCTTGTGGATTAGAAATCTCTGGTTGTGTGGTCCTCCTCCCATGTGGGCCAAGTGGCTGAGTCACTAGCTCATGGGCCCAGGAGCCCAGGGGCCCTCTATCACTACTTCCTATTTCTTTTCTCAATGTGAAGGTTGGGTATCCTTGCCTCTGTGGATCACTGTGTGCGACCCTGAAAATTACCTTCCACTGGGAAAAGGGCTGTAAGAGAGCACCTGCTACCTGTATGTAAATAAGAGCTTTTTATGTGCCTGAGGCCATGCTGATCACGTATTCACATTCATGCTGGAAAAAATGAATACCAATATCTAGCCGGATTCTTGTGAAGCTTTGAATGTTTAGATTCTGTTGAAACTGCGAGAAGGGACACTGTGATTAATTCATTGGCTGTATTTTTCAAAAATCTTTTTCATTACAACATGGCTTGCTATGAAACATTTTGACCATGTGAGTTCAAATTCATGAAACTTACTTTCGGTTAAGTTGTAGCTCCACCTGAACAGTCGAATGAATTCCAATCCACCAGTTCTGCCATAAAGTCTTCTTCATAATGACACTGTCAGGTTGATGTTTAATTAACTGTATGTTTAAGAACTGAGGTGTTTTACAGAAACAATCCCCCTCAATATAATGTTCTAACATACAGGGCCTTTAACCATTACCTCATCAATAATCAAATAAAAAAAACAGCTATATATATACCAAGTGAAGATAGATGTTATAGCAATGCTGCTCGATTGGTTGCATATGATTGTACAGTTGTGTCAAAAAAAGTGGGCAATGATAGGAAACAGTTTAGTTTTGTGTTAAAACTTCATTCTTAAGTCTTGATGTTGTTTCTCAATAAGAGAACTCTTTCTATTGAGAACTTTTGACTGTCTTTGGTTGTACATTTTAAGCTCTTCTAACCTGAGGATTGAGATATACTTCAGTTTAAATAATTATTTAAGGGATTAAAAACTACCCTGATATTCTGACATGGTCATTAAGCCAGTTTTTTTTTTTTTGAAAGGCTGCGCTCTTAAAAAAACAAACAAAAGAGGCCAAAAAAAGACGAGACTTACATGATAGAAAACATCTCTTACAAAAAAATACGTAAGTGACAAAGAAAAAACATCCTAAGGATAAAAAAAAAAAAAAATGTGACGATAGCGGATTCTGTCTTTGGATTTAAGTAAATATGATAGATGGTGATGGCTTGAAAATGTTACACTCTGCCTTTGGCTTTCATGTCGTGATGAAGTGGCGTGCACCAGCTGCCCTTCATCTGAACCTGCTGTCTTTGTTTGTTATTGTTGTAAGCGTGTAACGTCACTGATGCTGCTGCGGTTGCTGTATCGCACATCCGCACATCTGCCACACACCAGTGTTCCATTACAGGGTGACTGAAAGGAATTTGAAGGATGAGTGGAAGTCTTTCATTTTTAAAACAAAGGATCTTAGAAAGATTGTAGACTTTTCATTCTGTCAGAAATCACATCTGGAAGACAACAATGGTCATTGTGAGTGAATGTGTGTCCTTGCTGATTGTAACTCCCTACTGTATAACGAAAGCCCAAGTTACTATGTGTGTGTGTGTGTGTGTGTGTGTGTGTGTGTGTGTGTCTGTGTGTCTGTGTGTGTGTGCTTATTCTTTTTGTGTGTCTTCTCAAGCTGCCAAACATGCTTGACAAGGCAAGGGCAAACGTTTCCATAAATGGAATGATGCCAAAAAGACGTGAATAGAGGAAGGAGATGCTTTCATATTGTGCCGTATCAATGGGCTTTCAATGAAGTGCTGATGTCTGCAGCAAGCAATGGAAACACTGAAAACACCAGGTGAGAGGGAAGAACAGCCAAGTCAAGAGATAGCATGAAGAGGTCGTGAAGTGAGGATTCTGTCATTGTTGTTTATTATACTATCCTACAAAAACAGCAGCAGTTGTATTGGTGTTAATATTTTGGATGGACACGTTGTTATGAATGTGAGTGTGAATGTGTGTGTGA